TGCCGTGGCAATTATGCAGGAGATTCTGATTTACCCCTTTACAGCTCTTTGTTTCACCAACAACATCCTGCACTCTTTACTGTCAAGACAACAACAAAAAAAGTCACCAAAATTAAGTAGAAAAGAAAAGTAGAGTGACTTTGAACTAAAAAAACAACAACAACTACCTGGCATGCCTTGGAGTGTTAGTCCAGTAACAGACAGAAGCAAACACCAGCACTGAGGTCATGCGGAGTGTGTACTCTTGATCCCCCTGATAACCACCACATGGACACAAATAATGATAGAGGACAGAGGCTAAAGGAAATTTAACAAGACATTAATGGCAGCGTACGGTGACTTGGTAAGTGCATATCATTTGTAATAAATGAAGGTTAAAATGAAGCACATGGTCCAGGTGAAGAGAAAAACAAACAAGCAAAGGCCAGAAGACAAATCTTTCACTCAAAGTGCACACTTGCTGCACAGAAACAAGAAAAACAAAAACATTTAAAGTACAACGTGAACATAAAATTAACTGTCAATCATTATTCTTTTTAAGTGTTTTTTATATTGGGCTTTTTTTTGCCATTTTATTAATTTAGTTCTAATACTTTTCTTGTGCACATATTTAAATGTACAGATTAAATTCTTCTTTTTTGACTTAAAGCAAATAATGAATTGATGTTCAAAGTGTTTACAAGACAAAACCAATTTGACATTCATTATAAAACAGGCCAATGTAATTCAACACTCTCATGTTACATCAATATGTATCTTAGCAAGCATGCTTCATTCATGGAACAATATCCCATACAGCCTGATGTTATGTCTCACACACACACACACACACGCGCCATTCGCGTCCGGTGTAGACATCGTGTAAGACCCCCCGTTAATCAATGTGCTATTCAAAGCTGAGCTGATATGCATCTTCATTACTTCAATTGTAAAAAAGCTAATAACCTCAAACATACGACCTCAAATAAGATGAATGTAATTTTGTACATCTTTATTTTTTGTTTTTTTAGCATTTGAATTAAAATCTTGGTAATATAACTACATTTATATAATTGTAGAACTTATTGGGGCCCCAATGGAAGTTTTTTGAGAACCTTGTTGAGAACCACTAGAATAGAGCATTTCTACAATTGATCATGTTTGCGTTTGTGTTATGCAGCATCCACACCACTAGGTGTCAGTATGCATCCAATGGCAAACATAAGCCTGCATAACATAAACAAAAATAAATAAACCAATCAGCTGTGTGCACCTTTAAAGCAAATATTTGATCTAATTCAGCAAACATGCGTCATCCATCTTTATTCTTTCACTGTCCTTGGTTACAATTAGTTGTTTACATATAGCAGCTAATGAATAAAAAGTCTTGCATAAACACAGGAAATAGCTTACTTCTGCATTTAAAAAATAAGGTGGATAAACACTGTATCTACAAAAAATAAATGTAAATAAAAGTAATTGTCTATAGTACTAAAGTATAGTCTATAGTAAATAAAAGAATAAATGCCTATATTAGTGTCAAAGAAAATGTATTGTTTTACCTAATATTTGTTTGCTTTGTATTTTTATGCTATCTTATCAACATGCTAATGATGAACTCCATTAAAATAAATTGTAAATTGAGTTTCCCGAAAGCAACGAGTAAAGTTCTGCATTTGACCTGTAAACTAAAGCAGCCTGCTAAACACAATAAAAATAATGTCAGTGGGTCAGAAGAGTTAACGTCCCGTTGGGCCCACATGGACATCTGGAAGGTGTGTAGGGCTGAAATACAAGGCTTTTCTTTTCTGTTTTTAGTCGACTGTCCCCCTGTGACCAACGAGTGCTCGAGGGAATGGGGTTTTCCATTTGCCCAGTTAACAAAAAGCTGAAGAGGTGCAGAGTTTGACTAAAATGAGACGGGGTTCTGGACATTGCTGGGCATCCTAAGATTATTTTGGCAGTATAGTGGTTTTGCTATGAAAAAAACCAAAAACAAATGTAGGTGGTTTCACACTGATAACTCGTTGGCTCTGGTATCAGCTAGTCTTCAACACCTATTTAAAATTCAAAGTAGAAGTGCTGCAGTGCATATGGACCCATATATGCACATATATAGACTTCAGGGTGGATGACCGGCTCACTGGGATGTTAATGTAGTCTAGTTTAGAAAAGTCAGAAGCAAACAAAATCTCGAGCCAGGAAAAGATGTCTTGTAAAAGCAAATACGCTGCAACTCGAACGGACTCATTCACCGGCAAGCTGGACAGTGGCCAGTGAAGGAGGGTGAAAAAAGCACACTGCGACTGTAGATTCAAGCGCATCCACCGCTCTACCTCTCATTCACCAATTTATTGGTCTCAGCGTGACTGGTTCAGTAAGCTTTATTATCACGCACGTTGCTGCTGCAATGTGTGGCCAGAAGACATGTGCGGTACAGATACTGCATAAAACCCAAGTTGCCCTGGTGGTTCGGTTAAGCTTTTGCTGCCAGGATTGTGTAAATGAAGAGTACAGGAGAAAGAGGGGCCTGCTTGATACTGAGAGGAGCGAGATCTTGTCCCACATATCTCCTCATTTTCGTACTATATTTAGAGGTTAAAAGGAAAGCATCCAAAGGAATCTGATTACACTCAATGTGTTGAACACAGAGGGATGCTGTGGTCTATGTGGCCCTTGAGGATGCACTTCAAACGTGTTTGCAATGACTAAATCAAATGTTGCAAAAGAAGCAAGGAGTAATATTCACTTGCCAATGCACACAAGGAGCGGCACGCATTTCAAATAGTTTCAGGTCCCTGGAGTCCTGACATTGAATTATTTTTTGTTATATTTGGCATCACTATTCAGCATTCAGTGTCACTACCTGTTTACAAACACCTGGTATGGAGACAGTACTATACGACGGGAATGGAATATTTGTGCAATTGGGAAATCCAGCGTAAGCACTGAAAAAAAATCATTCTGATCATTTTTTCCCCCAGTTTCACACAAAACCTTCCCTCTATGCATTCATTCATTCAAAATTTTGACAAAGGATTTGAGCCAAAAAAATTTTTATTCATACTAGGAATTAAATATTGGTGAGGTGAACAGTTTTTAAGACACTTAATTTGATTAGAACATAACTAGAGATCTTTTTGTCCTTTACATAAGGAAGATCAAATGTTTGCAGGTATGCTACACACACAAATAGGATATTATATATATATTGGGAACTTAAAATTGGTAAGGTGAATCGTTTTTGTTAAGCCACTTTGATTAGAATAGAATTAGAGTACTAGTGCTGGCAATGCAGTTAACCTCGGGAAAATCACACATGTGCAACAGCCATTCAGCCTTTCAGCACAGATCCGGTAGTGACGTCATATTTGTTCTGGTGACAGTACAATCAAACATAGACATACAGGCCGATATGAATATGATACACAACAATGCTGTCTAAACTGGGAACTCGCTAGGATTTGAGACACAGCAATTGATCCAGCGTTGATCTACTAAAACTTTACTCATGTAAAAGCAATTATTTAGTGATGAGTATCATGAAAAATGCAAAGCCACAAAGCAATTGTACATTTCTAAATACATACTGGACCGTCCACCTGAGGAGAGGTGAATTGTGACATTAATTAAAGGCTTTCTGCATATATATATATATATATATATATATCTTCTAACATAAAAAAAACTAAATTTGCAAGGTAATGCAGTTCATAGTCAAAACTCAATAGTGCCCACCTCAGGGTAAATGCCCTGGTGACGTTCAATATCGTAGGGGTCTGCCAGGTACCGTTCTGCAGTATGGACAACAGCGAAATTACAAACACTTTTGCGCATGCGCAATGACTGGCGGATGAGATATGAATGTGTGTTTATCTTAATTAAGGGTTTATTTTTGCGATAATGACCATCTGACTGATAATTATTCGTCTCGCTAGATGGATACCCAGCAAGTTAATGGACATCAAATGTTTTTTATTAAGACAAATTTGATCGCTGGATGCTGCGACTGACGAAGTAGAATCAACAAGGCTTTTGTATAGCAGGAAGCCAAGTATAAACTGAATAACAATGTTCTTCAAAGCATTAAAGCAACTTTTCGGTTTTGGGGTCGAAAATGGGGAAGTCGTGGCCTAATGGTTAGAGAGTCGGACTCCAAAGGTTGTGGGTTCGAGTCTCGTACCGGCAGGGATTGTGGGTGGGGGGACTGAATGTACAGCGCTCTCTCCCACCTTCAATACCACGACTGAGGTGCCCTTGAGCAAGGCAGGCACCGAACCCCCAACTGCTCCCCGGGCGCCGCAGCATAAATGGCTGCCCACTGCTCCGGGTGTGTGTTCACGGTGTGTGTGTTCACTGCTGTGTGTGTGCACTTTGGATGGGTTAAATGCAGAGCACTAATTCCGAGTATGGGTCACCATACTTGGCCACATGTCCCTTCACCTTTTTTATTTATTTATTTATTTATTTTTAAAGGCGCGACAAAGTACTGACTGCGCATTGTTAACAGGTGTTGTGCTCAATTCTGACCCCTGCCAGATTTTTACTTCCCTAGTATTGGTAGATTTAGGGTTAGGTGTGTGGGAGGGGTTAGGATTAGGCAATTAGATAGCGATTTCAACGAGAGGGGTAATCATTTTGCAGGGGGTCGAAAATGGGCACAACACCGGCAAATAATACGCATGGAGAGAGTGACAGCTAGACAAAATACTGCATTTATCAGAGAGAGTGACAGAGAAAGGGTCCACATAACGAACCCGAGTCCTTTTCTCTCCGGAGTCCGAACGTAGCTAACAAACTTTCCAAAAGTTTACAACTTGTGCAAAGTAGGCCTACGCCAGTGAGTGGACTATTCCGACTCTTGCGGACCAGTTCATGATTCTAGCCTACACGAGAAATATACAGTCAAATAGTAGCTGAACAGGTAACATACATGCCATACTACAAAAAAGTGAGCTCAAAACTGATACAGACACCACGTTTAAAAAGTAAACTAACAAGATGCCGGTACACTCACTCACCCTGGCGTATTTCGAGGAGTAGGGGTCCTCAAACAGCGCCCACATGAAGGGCTGCCAGGTACTCCACCGGCTGCGGTTGCGACCATCCTCCTGTAGACACAACCTCTTCAAGTCCCCGTCCGCACCACCCGTTAGCGCCGGGTCGTCCTCTGGCAGGTCCGGCTCGGGCGTCTCGAAGCTGTCCAGCGCTTCCTCGGCGTCCCGATGCTGTCGGTAGTTCATCCAGCAGCAAGCCTCCACGTCCGTCTCGTCGATACCCCAGAACGCGAGCTCCTCCTCGAAGAGAGGACCGCAGACATCGTTGGGACAATGCAACTTCCCTGTGCGGTAATAGTTAAGGATGAAAGCAAAGGTGTTGGGGTGACGGTCAAAGAAAAACTCGTCGGATTTTGGGTCATAGTCAAAGTTACTAAACGCATCTGGCTCCGTGAGCCAGGACAAGCGGGTCCCAGGCAGCGTCTTCAGTGTGCTGCGGTACGTCTCGTGCCGAATCCCCCCGCAGTTTATCACTATTTTCTCGCTGTCTGACGGACAAGTCATGTCTGCGCTGTAACATGCTTTGTTGGACGACTTGTTCCCACCCGTGCGCCCTTTGAAAGAGGAGACACACACCGAACTGAGCATAGAGGAGCAAGGGGAGGGAGAGGAGGAGAGAGAACCGAGCGGGGAGGGAGGGAGGAGGAGCCTGCGGTGGGAGAACAGAAGAGATGAGAAAATTAGTGATGCTCACACTTTTATACATTATCAAACTTGTCAAAGTAACCTGCTTCTAACTCATCACATCATTAGTTCTTGCACCAGTTACTAACGGCTTTGTACAACTGCAGGAGGTACTACATTCTTAAAAATAAAGCTTCTTTATTTGCTTTTATGGTTCCGTGTAGAACCATGAATCATTTCCATTGCAGCATTCTTTATAGTGGAAAAAGGTTCTTTAGAAAATTAAATTGTTCTTAAAAAAAAGAGGCTCTCTTAAGAACTGCTCACTGAAAGGTTCTTTGGGGAGCCCAAAAAAACTGTTCTTCTATGGCATTACTGCAAAACCCCCTTTGGGAACCTTTATTTTAAAGAGCACTAATATGTACTGTTTAGGGGTAAATGTACAAAGGTGTACCTTTCAAGGGTAGGCCTACTGCCCCAGTTTTGTAAAGTGTAGGTGGTGCAATGCAATGTCAATCTAGATTTTGTAAAAACACCTATTAAAATTTACAAGAAACTGCAAATATTAGGGCCACTGTCTAGGGCAAACACGAATATCATATACCTAAGGTATTTTATGGTATAGTCTATTCACTGGGCTTGGAAAAGAGAGGGCCTGTCCATAAAAAACTGTCAAAATCTTTGGCAACAGCCCTAGCCAACATACAAAATCAGATGAATGTTAATGCAGGCATATGGGATAAGCATTTTAATGAAGGAGTGAGTTCAATATACGTTCACGTGTCACATAATAAACAGGAAAGAGACGCCTCCTCCTCTGCAATGCCCACCCATCATTCCTTACCATCTTTTACCATCACTCAGCTCTCATGTCCCTCAATTCACTAAAACACTCTGCTCAATTACAGCGAAGGGAGATGAAAATGACTGAATGTTTCACAGCCACCCCCCTCACCACACCATACTCTGAGTGTATCCAATAGAAAGAGGGAGAGGAGGAAAATGAGAGCAAGAGAAAGGGTGGGAGGAAGAGGGAGAAAAGCTAAAGGCAGAACGATTATTTGCTGAGCTACACAAAATAGAGAGAAAAGACTGCAGAGTATTAACTCTTACACTATCTCTCGCTCTCTCTCTGGGCAGTGCTAATGTTATACAGATCATTCAGTACAGTCTTTGTACAGTATTAACCTTGGTTGTAGACGTAAAATCCAGAAAATCGTAATTGTTTGAGTGTGCAAACTTCAAAATTACAATATACTATTAAAAAGGGTTAGATTCACATAACCTCTCATATGCACATTCATATTTTCACTGCATTACACTGAGCAAGTGCTTTAAAAACTGAATGTCTTTATTCATAGCTGTAGTGAAACAAATGAGTCCTGGCTCTCTTTTTCCAATCAAAATGTCCCATTTTGGAAATATGGAGCAGGGACGTTATTATCTTTTTCTCTTGGGGTCGTCGTGCACTGTAAAAAGTGATAACGGGCCATTTGTAGTTGATTTAACCTTTAAAAATGACTTTTGTTAGTGTGACCTAATGTAGGCAAATGGACTCCCTCATGTTAAATAAGGGTTTTAAATGTAATAAAACATGTTAATTTAGAAGGTACTACATGAAGCAATTTTTACTATTGCATAGCAAAAATTGTTTTTTACAGTGTAGAAGGGTCCGATTTCACCGACCAATGTCCTTCTCCCATGTTTTGCTGTGTTGTCGCTTCTGGCTTTCACAATAACTCTCCTATATCTGTTCCTCTTGTTTGGCTGTGCTGCATGGCTGCTCCATACATATCTGTCAAACTGTCTTCCCTTATTACTTATCCACTCTTATCCATTCTCCTCAGCTCACTCTTTCTCTTGCTTTCCCTTATGTCCCCCTGTGATTAACAGTTGAAACAACAAAGATCACAGGAGTATGAGAAATATAAGAAGGAGAGAGGCTGAATCATATGAAACAAGGTAAACGCATTCACTGCTTTTCTAAATTGACGTATGGTTTCTGCTTTCAGCACCATGGACAGTGCATGGGTTTCAGTTAATCATTTAAAACCGTATAAGAACTGGAAATACAGCAAAAAAATGAGCAAAACATTTTATAACAGACATAAAATTAATAATACTAAATAAAATACAAAAATATCTCACAAATAATATGTAATAATAATCATAATAATATAAAGTCATAACAAAAAAAATTAATAATAATATTACAAAAAATCAACTAACAACTGTGCTGGTGTTACACTGCTTTTCCAATCTGTATTCTCATAGCACTTAATTATATATAACTAAATCACTTAATTATATATAACTAAATCATCCAAAGTGGAAACACTATCAAAACATCCCTATGTTTGTCTCGGACACAATATTAGCTAAACCAGTGCTGTTTTTGCAAGGTGTTTAAATATGCCAAGCATGTGGTGGTGAAATAAATAACTATAAGGATCACAAAAGGGGTAAATAAATAAATTGATGAATAGGAAAAACTGAAACTGAGAGGAAACTGTGGGGGGGGGGGAGAGTTGTGCTGACAAAGCAAAAAAAAAAAAAGGCATCTTACAGTGACAGCATTGAGACGTGCATGACTATATTCCAATATCTAGCACTAACAGTGTTCTTAAGATACACCATCCAGTCTCAGCTCTCGTTAAAACCTAATTAATAAAAGTGCCCTCTCCGGTTAATTACCATCCCTTTATAGTCCCCCATTAAGTACTCAGGGAATGAAGCCGGAGAGAGATGGGATATAATTTGTGTTAAGCCAAATCACACATGAACTTGATGGAAACTATTCTTAGCGGTGGGAAAGAATGGAGAAGGGGGAAAACAAAGAAAAGAAGAAAAAAAGGAATTGAAAAACAGACGGAGGACAGAGAAGGTCAATACGGGGGTAATCTCAGGTGATGTGTAAGGGTCAAACTTTTAGGAAGGGGTGTATTTGTAAGGATGCAAAATCATGGAAAGGCATCAGCTGGAGGGAGAGTACAGGGTTTGAAATAAGGCACTGCCAATGGGATGTGAGTGAGTGAAGGAGGGAGGGAGAAAGGGAGGGACCAGAAGCTGAGAGAAACCAAAAGAAAAGTTTAACTAGTATGTGATAAGATGAGAAAGTGTAGAGGAAGAGGAACAAAAGTATTGTTTATAGATCAGTAGTTCTCAACCAGTTCAGGGCTCAGATTATATATTAAGACAGTTAAAAGTAAATAAATGTCCAATACATATATTAATATTATAAAATAGTTAAAGCACAGTCACAGTCAACAATTTCAACAACAAAAGACAAAGTGAAACGTTTTCTCCTCCGTTTTAATACCTGATTTAAACTATTTTTATTGGCTGTATTTAGCAGTTTTAAATGTTATTATCTGGAACCCATTTTTTGAGAGCCACTTCAGAACCAGTGTTAGAGTATTAGCAAAAGATATAGGGGTCATTGAAGGATGAGAAAAGCTCCATCTACAGTCAGCATAAACTTTCTAGACTTTTGTTCGCATTTGATTGTAGATAACCACGCCATTGGGTAGGGAGTGATGATGCAACCAAAAAAATAAAATGCTTATGTAGTGTTTAGAACGAGAACACTGAACTACAGAAGGGCATACATTTGGCTACTCTGTTTCAAATAAAACAGAAGCAGGGGAAAAAAGAGTGGGCATACAGGAATAATTAAGGTTTGATATTTATGCAAACATAGTGAACTGAAAATACACCTACATACTCAATAACATATCAAGGTGATGTGTGACTGTCTGAAAAAAAAAAAAACCCAGACACAATCATTGTGGGAGATGAAACGTCCATGTATTTGTTGGACTGACAACTCAAAATAAATGTAACATACCAGAAAAACCTTTAAAATCCATTTAAAAATAAAGCTAAGTGCCTAGCTAAGTAAACGAAACACAAAGTTGGTGTGGACGATTTGTAATTGTGTCAATCTTTGATTATGTGACAAGTAACGGGCAACTTTTGTTTTGACTTGTACCGTCCGACACTCAATGAGCGTACTGTTGCCATGGTTACCTCCTCAGGCAAATTGGAATTCTGTTCTCGAACGTCTATTTAGCATATTCTGACTAAAAGTTGTAATGTGACTTTTATGGTTAGCAAAAGGCTGTTATATCGTACAAACGCTTATATGCGAAAAATAAATACCCCTCTCTCCTTTTCCCAAATCTTAATTATGGTGGTTAGACCAAATATCCCAGCCATAATTCGCACACGGGTTTAAGTGGCAAAACAAAGTAGACCTGCCTACTACTTGTTGAGTCCGTTGACTGGCAGAGGCAGAGGCAGGGGGTAGGCAGGCCTGCTTTGCATCAGTACAACGGGCACACAGACAGAAACACTCGGAACAGAAGTGATATTTTGTCACTTGTACACAAGATCACGACACAGACACAGCACAAACACCTATATTACATACTTACTCGCTTTGGGTCTGGCTCTGTTCGCGTGCGTGCAGTGTGCGTGTTACTGAGCACACACACATGAACACACAAACTGCACAAAAATGCTATGTGGAATTTACTACGTTTTCTGACCGAACGGAGGGATCCTCGTCTCGTGGGTCCGAATGACTGTGCAGAAACCTAAGATTTTGTTCTCTATATAAAATGGCTACAGTTGTGAATAATGCAATATATTCTTGCTACAACACCGGCCAGTTCAAAATAACGCAACTGTGCTATAGTGCGTAGTTCAGTTTAGTTATACAAAAGACTAGCCTACGAAAATATATATTTATAATATATCACCTAAGTTGCACCCCTGCTATCCTTGTTCCTCAAATAAATTATTCTCGTCAAATATATGGGTGTTACAGGTCTAATATTAAAATTATTTGCCTGGTAAATAAGCATTTCTATAATTTAACAAAGCTCGTATTAACAAATTACTTTTATTCCCTAAACGAAACAGTCTGTTCAACCAAGCGAAACGTGCAGCGGGGAAACACCTCTCTCTGTTTGTTTAATCTTCATGCAATCACTCCATTAACAGTCTATCCCTTTCTTCTCAGTTTTAGCATCCTTTCTTCCGTATCTTCACCTGTTCCCGTTGTCCAGGGTTAAGAAGACCGTAACCAGGTCTTTAGTCGCAGACTGAGAGGTCTGTTTGAAATTATTTATGCCGAATAAGTAGCTTGCCAGGCACGACTAGAAATGTTATTCCTTAAACTGCCTCTCTTATTTCTTCCGTTCGTTTTTTCCCTGTCGATGTTTTTGTTTTGTAAATCTGTATTTCCATGCAATTTATTCCTTAATCTAATGATGACATGGGATCCCTCTGTGTTGTTCCCTCCCTTTAGCTCTTTAAAGGGAAAGGTGGCAGCTGGTGCCCCCTCCCCAAACCCCACCCTGTGCCATTTAACCATATACACGCCAAGAAACAAACTTGTCGCTATTTTCAGTATTTCTACTAGTGTTACCTTTTATACATGATTTTTAAAACCTTTAAAACAAAACAAAATTCCCCAACACATTAATAAACATGTCTCTTAATGGAGAATTATAAAAATAAAAAAAAATGGGTTATTAATGAACATTAAACGTAGGCTGTAAGTTTAAATCCATGTTGCTAGTTTGATAGATAGACAGACAGATAAATAGATAATGTGAAAAATTACACAAGAAATTATACAGAAAGTAATAAATGGCATACAGATTACATTTTACATGTTGAAAAGCCCGTTGGCTATAGGAATGTGTCTTTCACATTGGTCACTCTTTGTTTCCAGGGGCCATAAATTACCAGTGTAAATCTATAATCTCCAGTCAGTCCGTACAGATGTTTCTCCTTCTTATGGGTGTTCCAAACAAGACAGTGCGGTTTCTGTCTCTGTGTGAAAGAGACAACAACGCTGCACCAGTTAGGATAAGCACCTGGCCAGGTCACAGAATTCTGCCTATAAACATACTCCAAAGAAAATCAGATGATGCAAGCAGGGAAAAAGTAGGCAGATATCGAAAAATATATATATATCCTGAAGGGACATGCCAAAATTTGGAATCTTCTAACATTTAGCCTGAATTAAAAATTGTAGGCTGGATTGTAGAATATTCAAATCAAAATATACCACAATCTACAATAAGAAAGCCTGAGGACAATAAGAGGTCATAGATGTCTATAGACATGGTCAATAATGATTTTTCTTTCTGATTTTTAATTAATGACTATTGTATTAACTATTCCTTACATATTTTATTTGCTTTTAATAGTTCTCTAAAAGATAAATCTAGCCTCCACCATTTCATAATCTTTGCCTTCACCTGTTCCTTAATTTTTATTCATCTAGCTTCCAAATATGGCCTTAAATCAGTCATGCTCTCTCTCTTTGGCACATTGCCGGAGGCAGAGCTGGGGGAGGAGAGTGAAATGTTGCAAGAGCAAGTAGGAGGAGGAAACTGGGTGGGACATAATTCTGACTATATTGCAATATTCTTACAAGTTCTCTATATTTTTCCCATTACCACCCTCTCTGTTTTGTTTTAGGCTCTCTTCATGAGATCATGAGTGGAGTAAGGTATTGTTTAAGTACACACTACTGTGCAACCCTCTTGGGTTGTCTGGGTGTGGAGCCAACTGCCTCCTCAGCGATATTTCTGTCACTCCCTGGTCTTCCCTCTTTACTTGCAGCTTTTTCCCCTTGGATTTTTAGCACACTTCCTGTAATTCTCAGAAGCATATATTTTTATATAAACACTAAATCATTTAATATATAGTCAATTACGGCACGGGAAAGATGAACTTTTTTCTTCTGAAGAGCATAAGACAATATTTTGATAGGTCAACAACGTCAGTGTATGGACAAAAAAGCTGAACGATCTTCTAAATATCTCCTGTTGTGTTCCACAAAAGAAAGTCATACACATTTTGAATGACACGAGGATGAGATAAGCACAGAATTTTCAATTTTGAGCGAACTATCCATTTAAGGATAAAGAATACATACATAGAACACAGACAGGCACACACTCCAGATCAATAAATCAATAATGTTTCCAACAATCACTTCTAACGTGTTTTTGTTCTCCATTTATTACCCAGCCTCTGAGTGACAAAAGAAAAGAATGGAAATTAAGTAATATTGATGAAACCATCTTTTAAAGTTCAGATCAATTATTGCAGAACTGAAAATCAAACCATCCACCCTAGTTTGTCTATTTTCTCATACCATAGACATTTTACTTCTTCCATACGTCTGATTCTCAGTACTATACATTTTAGGAACACCTAAAATGTCCAGTAACACACCTTTACCACCCTCATCTTGCCATTTCACCCCACTTTGTGCAACATCAGCGGCTTGCGATGTTGGGGGAAGCACAGGTACAGTAAAACTGTCCATATACAGACTACTTTTACCCCTGTGGGGCACAGGAAGAGGTGGACGAGGCAGCCGGGGTTGACATGATAAAGTGGATGGAGCTTTGTGAGCAGGAAGTCGGCTGTGAGCTCCGCTCTTGGTAAGGGTTCCATTAAAGGTAGCTGCATCCAGGACAGAGCGAGGAGACAAATTTGACCTGAAAAAGAGGATTATCAATAACTAAGAAAAATATAATGATTTAGTGTGGAAAGAAAAGGCACAAGGCAGTCAGACGAGTATTAATACACTGCATACACATACTAGTGCTTTGAGGTCCAATATATTCCTGCCTTATCACTATGCTGACCATCACTTAGCTCATATATTACTTTGTCAATAGAAACACATGTGGGTCCTCTGAGACTAAAGCTCTTCATTCCTTAGCATAAGGAAATGTCTTTATATATTCAATACCATTGCTGCCTCAATAAAAGAGCTAAAACACAGGATGATGGTTTAAGTGCTCTTAAAACAAAGTCAGCAAAGCAGAAATACCCATATAAAAAATACGAACAAAGAGAAACATATGTTATACTGTCACACAGAGTTTCTGTGAAGAGGTGTGTGAATTAGTGTCAATATGTGTTTGTGACCCTGAGTGCTGCCCACCAATCAAGAGCTGACAAGGTTCAGGAGGCCAGGCCAGAAGGTGAGATGAGCGATGCTTTACTAAATCACTTCAATCAGGCCTGCATTAAAAAATTAATCCTGTCATCATTCACTCACCCTCATGATATTCCAAACCTATGACTTACTTTCTTCTGTGGAGCATAAAAGAAGAATGTTTCAACAGGCTGTTTATACAGTGAAACTAAATGGGGCCTAAAACAACACTGTATGGGCAAAAACAAAAATGGAGACATTTGGGGCAGTCGTGGTCTAATGGTTAGAGTCGGACTTGCAACCCAAAGATCATGGGTTTGAGTCTTGGTACTGGCAGGAATTGTAGGTGGGGGGAGTGAATGAATGTGAATTTGAAAGTGCTCTCTTCCACCCTCAATACCACATCTGAGGTGAGACCCTTGAGCAAGGCACCGAACCCCCAAATGTTCCCCGGGTGCCGCAGCAAAAATGGCTGTCCACTGCTCTGGGTGTGTGTGTGTGTGTTCACTACTCACTGCTGTGTGTGTGCACTTGGATGGGATAAATGCAGAACACAAATTCATCATGTCACTTTCACTTTCTTCAACAAGATATGAATAACACTTTTGCATTCAATGAAGAAAGAAAATCATGCAGGGTTGGAACGATATGAGGGTGAGTAAAAAAACTGAAAAACTGTGTTGTGATCAGTTCTGAACCTGAAGATACGGTTTGTTAAACTGACTGTGAGTAAAGACATTTTTTGTTCAGTTAGACAACCTGTGTCGAGTGTGTTATGTGCACCGTAATTCCAAATAATCAAGAAATGAGAGAGATCTGTTCTGCTGCTATACACAGTGAAAAGTCAGGAACTACTTGGAGCTTTAACTGCACGATTCACTATAGGCTAGATTTCAGATTTACATCTCCCCTGACATTCTGGGGATGGATGCTTTGCTCTAATGGCATCTAGAAAGCAGATTACTCAAATAGTACATACCCTCCACTTACATCTTGGGATTAAATCAGGCCAGTAAACCCTTTGATCTCCGTCATCACTTTTGAGAAGCCACCACTGCTGACCTCAGATTTCCTAATTATCATTTAATCCATCAGTGCATTCACACTGCCCTCTGGTGGTGGAGAGTTACCTGTTAAAGTGCTTGAAGTCAGTCTTGGTAGTGCTTAAGACTGGTTCCTGCTCAAACGCCATTTGAGCCGTTTCCAGCTGTCTGTACAGTGCCTGATTAAAACCAAGAGAAAGTGTGAGTCATTTCATTGGCCTAGAAGCTCTGGTGGAGAAAAAACTGCTGTCTGTGGAGTGCTACTGAATCCTCAAGACTATGAGAGCTATCCATTAAGATATGGTACTTTGCATGAATTAGCTTTTTTTTTTTTATATTGTTGATTGAAATTCCCTACTCCCTAACATTTCAAAAATACATTTCTATTCTCCACCCTCAAAAAAAATAAAAAAGTGGCAAGCTTACTTATAGTGCACAATTTACTCTTAAAAAATAATTCTGGGTTCAATACAAATTTAAGAGATAGTTCATCTCATCAGTGCATTCACACTGCCCTCTGGTGGTGGAGAGTTACCTGTTAAAGTGCTTGAAGTCAGTCTTGGTAGTGCTTAAGACTGGTTCCTGCTCAAACGCCATTTGAGCCGTTTCCAGCTGTCTGTACAGTGCCTGATTAAAACCAAGAGAAGTGTGAGTCATTTCATTGGCCTAGAAGCTCTGGTGGAGAAAAAACTGCTGTCTGTGGAGTGCTACTGAATCCTCAAGACTATGAGAGCTATCCATTAAGATATGGTACTTTGCATGAATTAGCTTTTTTTTTTTTATATTGTTGATTGAAATTCCCTACTCCCTAACATTTCAAAAATACATTTCTATTCTCCACCCTCAAAAAAAATAAAAAAGTGGCAAGCTTACTTATAGTGCACAATTTACTCTTAAAAAATAATTCTGGGTTCAATACAAATTTAAGAGATAGTTCATCCAAAAATCACCATTCTGTTATTCTCCCTCATGTCATTCCAAACATGTATGACCTTCTTTCCTCAGTGGAACACAAAAGAAGACTTTTGTTTTGTCCATACAATGGAAGTCAATGTGTTTGGTTACCAACGTTCTTCAAAATATCTTCTTTTGTGTTTTGCAGAAGAAAGGAAAAGTCATGGAAGTTTCCTGAAGACCTTAATTAGCTGGATCAGGTGTCTGATTAGGGTTGGAGCAAAACTGTGCAGAGCTGTAGCCCTCCAGTTTGAGACCACTGTTATGATCATTAATAATAATTTAATTAATAAAAATAATTATAATATATATATATTGAACTACAGTAACTTTTTTTATGTCATGTTAGCTAATGTCTTCGTCTTTTTGTATTGTTAGCAAAATCATCTGCTGAAGTCTATTGCAGATATAGATAAGGCATCTACCTATATATATCTATAGAGCAAATGATGATAGAAAAATCATTTTTGTGTGAACTACCCCTTTAAGTTGAATCGACAGCATTTGTGGCATAATGTTGATTAATGAAAAAAAAAAAAGATTTATCCCTCATTTTCAATCGTGATTATAGTGGGGCACTTACAATGGAAGTGAATAGGGTTGTTTTTTTGGATGTGAAAGCAGAAAAAACTTTTAATTTTCATAAAAGCACTCACATTAATTCTCCTGTTAGATGTGCAATGTGTTATATCTTGCGGCTTTACTTCTGAAACAGTGAGGACAAGTGGAAACTTTACCAGGGCCTACAATTTTCAGCCTCTTTATCTCACCTGCATCATGCTAAAGTGTTCAGACGGAGGTTCACGTGCTGCTGATTGACCTCTGTAGCGGTCCTGCATTTCACTGATGGGATTTGAGACCACTCTCACTGTTGGCCGGTCTCTGAGCTGTGGAGGATCAAACAGACACATATGAATGACATACATGAAGACACAGAGTTCCAAAAACAGAATAAAAGACGACATTCTCCAAAGAAAAACTCCCTTTTACACACACATCTTACCCTCTGGGCCAGCTCATTGAGGAAGTGTGTGGTCCAGTGCGCAGGGGCTTTAGAGTGGATTTCATTGTACAGAGGACCATTCAGTGGCTTTCTGTCATGCTCAGTGTGTGAGGTGAGAGAGAAGTGAGCAGAGGCCAGCACTCTGTTCTGACAGTGGACGACTGGAGGAAGAGGGGCATTCTGGGGCAGAGACAAGAAGGTAGTTGATGGTATCACATCTTGTTTCTTTGGTTGTGTCCCATTAAGCCAGTCAACAAGAAAGGTTAAACTTGAGGTTTATGATGTTATGAGCATTATTTACTAACAAGGTCTTCCAAATCAAAGGTCTATATAAGACCACCACAAAAAAACAACATATTAACTTCGCAATTCTACAACTATTGCGTCTTTCAAACAGACTAAATTCTTTGTTTCGTTTTTGGTCAAATACGTTGTTGTAATAGCAAGCTGCCAACTTAACTGTAGTAACAAACTCTATTGTAACTATGGTTACCATTTTTTTTTTTTTGTAAAAGTTAATAAAACACTTTGTTGGTAACCCAGTTTGATGTTCCTCGTGCCTACCTTACAAGTTTTAAAATAAAACGAAGACGGTTGCAGATACGCATGTCCAATGGTTGTGCTGGTTTGGACCTTTCGTCTCTGGTTATCCATTCGCTTCATGCACTCCCTCGCAAAACTGATAATAAACCACCAAATAGATACAGGAACCCCTGTCCGTCGAAAATTAGACAAGTGACATATTACTGATAAGACCCTTTATGTGTTTATTCATAGATAATGCTGCGCCCATCCATAGGAATGGAATCTGCCTAGTTTACGCTTAAGTTACCTGCTGCTATGGAAACGAACGCGCGTGCATGCGTGTACACAGAAATGAAAGAGTAAAGCCCCGTTCACACCAAGAACGATAACTATAAAGATAACTATAAAGATAACGATATTAGCGTCCACACCAGCGAACGATATCGTCTGTTTATTCTAAGCGCACGCGCGTCTGCTGCTTTGATTCTAGAGCTCGTTACAGCAGGATGGATTCTGATTGGCTGTCAGTGTTTTATCGTTCATCAGCTGGACAAAAATCGTTTTGAAAGCGATTCCAACGATATCGTTCCTCTGTATCGTTATCGTTATGGTGTGAACTATGCTATTCTTTAATATTGAGAACGATTTTTAGAACTAGATCTTTATCGTTATCTTTATAGTTATCGTGCTTGGTGTGAACGGGCCTTAACATTAAACAGTAACATTAAATAGTCCTCGATCATATGTGAGTTTTCCGAGAAACGTTGACCTAAATAGTAAAAAAAATAGGTATGTTGACACAGCAACCGCGCGCGACGAACATTCTGTCTCAACAATTTGTTCCAAACTGCGTGGTACTGTTAAAATGTGTGTCATGCAATATCCACTCCTCGCCGCCTAGTGGCAGTATGTTTTTCCTGAATATGACAGTAATTATGTCGAGAACAACCCCCGGAAGCGTTAGACATTTCGAGCTTTTCAGCCCTGAGGTGTTTTCAGTTCACAGCAACTGTCTGAAGATTTGAGTGATTTTCAACCGGTCGGCGGCCTTCATCAAAACTCTGGACACTAATGAAAGGTAGGTGGGCATGAATATATACCTTTTATCTTGGTACTGACGAAATTTCATCGAAATCCATGGTGGAGAAGGTATTTAAATAAATCGCGGAAATTTGGTAGTCACATTTGTGGCGGTAGATTAGCGAACGTCCTGTCAGAACATCCACTGCAGGCATCGTTTAAAAAATCAATAAAAATTGTCTCGATTTTAACTCATTCTCACCGTGTTTTTCTTGAAAGTGTTACTGATGCAATGTACTTTAATATGTATCTCATGGTTTTCTTGACATATAATAGTAACATAGTTTACATTACTTCGAAATACGTTAATTACTGAGGACTTGCCTTTAAGTCTGTCTAAATGAATAGGCTAACAACCCTTTTGTCTTGTATAACCCTGACCTTTTTTTGTCCTACCATGAGTTGGTACCCCCTCACTCATATGTGTTGATGATTCTTCAAAAGTAGAACATAGCATTAAACTATTTATTAGATATAACTGCAAACTGGTTATTAAATGAAAACAATGATTAAATTACACATGATTATTAAATGAAAATCATTTTATTTAATCTTCTTAATTGGAACATTTAATTCTCAGGCATTTTCTCCTTGGAATTTCTAAGAGGATAAGTAAATTAATTTTTAAATTAAAAATTATATATTTTCAAGGAAATAAATTATTAAATGTTTCCACGTACCCCCTGGTTGGGAATCACTGCTCTAGCTGAATACAGCAAATCCTTACAATTCATAACTGTGTACATAATTCACTCAAATGATGGAAAGCTGTCTGAGAGCAGTCATTTTAGTACTTGAAAGACCGTATCAACAATACTTTGATACATGGACAGTGACGGAGAAACTAAAACAAGAGACAACCTCGGCAAGATCACGTAACATGGATGCTGAAGAGCTGATGGGGATGTTTAGTGCGCTGAAGTTATTATAGGCTACTATTTTATTTTTTTGTGAAAGCGGTCGCATTAAGGCCATTCACCTTACAGGTGAATTTAATCAAATCTATCGAAACAAGTACTATACCAGTCAAATTTTAAAAAAGAAAGAAAATTTACATTGTGATATTTTCATTATAATTAATCAATTTTTTATAACAATTAAATGACAAACCATAATGCAAAACAAATCCTCACTCTCATTACAAAAAGTGCAAAAATGAAAGGTATATGGTATATTAAAATATCTATGATATTTTGTCAAAACTATGGTATCATGGTAAATGTTTATAAACTGGGAATAAATCAACTCAGCATACTATTAAATTACATTGTTGGTTTTAATGTATGAATAAACATAAATAAACTCAAAAAATTCAAGCATTGAACATAGGCACTATGACTGGCAGCACAAAGCCACTCACAGCAGCACACTTTAATGACGACCCTATTTGAGTGTGGCATGCTTTGTACGGAGCAATCTGTTCATGCTTAGTACAGAGCAATCAGTTCATTCAGGAAGTGTCTTTTGTGTTAACAGTTTGTGTACTCCTGATATAGTTCACACAGAGCAGAACACATGATACAAGAATACTTATAGAAGTGGGATGCATAGCTTTAACTATATTGTCAATGCATGTCTTCTGAAACACAGACTTGTTATGTGAGTGAATGAATGATGGTCTAAGTAGGAGCCATCATGCCATTCAGTTCAGCAATACTCCTACGGCAAAAGACTAAGTCTTGCAAGTACACACACTGTGTATTTGCACTAGCCAGACAATTTTTTAAGTTCTCTTCTGTGCTAACAGACACACACAACCCCCGAGAATATCACAGGGTTCAGGTTCCACATAAGAATACAAAATTAGACTCAAGACCAGATGCACTATGCAGTCTCTCCGGGGAAAATAGTATATTTGAGGTCTACATGTTTTGATTTCGTTCCACTAACATATAAATAGCTAAGGGTAGTCTACACGGATCTCCTCTGGGTCTTCTGTCATCCTATAGGAGCAGAGAGGGTGGGAGAACGGATCAGCAGGTCAGTCAGAAGTTGAGATTGGTTAACCCCTGGATTCCAAAGACCTGTCGGTGAAAAGACAACGATGGGTGAAATTCTAAAATACAGATAGGCTACTTGCACATTCATGAGAATATTTCATATTTCATTAAAGACATTTAACATGCCAACTACAATGTTTTGTTAATTAATTACAATTTAACAGTCTGTTGCAAACACCATAATAAATACAAAATAAATGTTGTGAGATACACTACCATTCAGTAAGTGAATGCTTTTATTCAGCAAGGATGTATTACATTTCAAATGGATCAAAAGTTACAGAAAATACATTATTTTAATGTATATTTAATCGAATAAATGCAGCCTTGGTAAGCATAAAAGATCTTACCAACCCCAAAGTTTTGAACAGTAGTGCATGACATTCGAACAAAAAAATGTCTCCTGATTAATGATAGGCTGAGAGATGGTGAGAAAAAGGTAGGAAAGGAAAAGAAAGTGAAAGTCGCACTCACGAGTAGCTGGTATGTTGCTGCCGTCTCCTGGCACTTCTCATCTTCTCAAATCTGGCTTCCATCTCTTCGAGGACTTTAGGGGTGTAACGCACCACCAGCTTCACGGAACCCTGTGCTGCCTTTAGCAGCTCTACAGCTTTCTCATGATGTTCTCCCTCCACACTCTACACACAATAAAAAAAATGAAGGACATTTTGAAGCCTGTTATTCTGGCAAACCGCAGCTCTTAAAATCAAGGTCGTGGTCATACACAGGAATAGAAATTATACGACTCAAAACTCAATAATGTCCCAACATACCACTCCATTAACAGAGAGCAGCTGGTCTCCTCTCTTCAGACCACCCTGTCGGTCAGCAACACCCCCTGGGATGACCCTGGAGATGTAGATGGGAGAGTTTTGCTCTTTTCCACCCATGATGTTGAACCCAAGCCCCTCGTCTGTTTTAGGGAGCTCAACCACTCTTGGATGTGCATGGCCTTCACTGGCTGCGAACGCTGCTACTGTGGCCTGGAAAAAGACAACAAATAAATGTCTTCATCAGTATATGATCATTCTTGATCAACAGTGGCAATTTTGGGGTAAAAAGGTACCTTTGCAGTGGCTTGTGCTCGGACCTCAGGCCCACCTACAATGTCCAATGTATCATAAAGCTGCTCATAGACCTAGAAAAGGGACAGTCATTTAACAACTCAAATATTTGTAGTTGACAGTTAGTTTGACTCATTTATAATTAATGAACCTAACAAACATCACATTACACACTGCTTTGCAGATCATTAATTAATATACATTCAAATAGAAATGTCCTTAAAGTTTGATTCATATTTTCATGTGCATACATAATTCAAGTAATGCAAACTACTGATCTCTTTAAACAATAATGTTTGTTATTGACTTCACAAGAGATGATAATGTACAATCGGTTGGTCATTATTGCAAAATAAACCCCCGCAGTATCACACAAGACCTTTCGGCTTTGGGTTTTAGTAAAAAAAATGATTGTGTGACTGTCCATTGTCTTGCTTACTACACAGATGTTGATTACTAAATAAATGGGCATTACACATTGATTTTAGTTGACAATTTATATTTACTTTGAGAGGAAAGAGACAATAGCTAATTATACATTTTAGAACTCACACAAATATTTTCAGAATGCCATCATTGCACAAGAATCAAGAGCCATGTAATAATGAAAGTCATTGTGCAGTTTTCTTAGTTAATCCCATGTAAGGTTTGTGAAGTAGAAGGCAGATTTTAGTGGAATGAATCACAGCCAAAGTAGACATACTGATCAAAATCTTGTCTTCCTATAATTTGTTATCTCTCAGCTACGCAAAGAGCAGGACATCTAAAAAGGACATGTGAAAACTGAGTAAGTCTGACAAGAGTATCATGTAGAATATCTGTGCAAGTTGTGAACAGACTCGACTTGAGTGAGATGGAGGCTGAAGTGAGATACCGTCTCAGAGAGACAGGAAAGGGAGTCATTCAGGAGGAGGAACAGTGCAGCACAATTCTGTCTATGAGAAAAGACCATTCACGTGTGGAGGAGGAAGACGACAAAGTGCTGTCGTAAGTGCTTACGTGGTGACAACATTTGACTTCAAACCTTAATTTTATACCTAGCTATGTATGTTCCATTAGCGTTCTGTAAATCAGCACATAAAAGGTACAAGTTAGTAAATATTTTCACATTTTTTATCA